TAAGTACCTCCTATTGGCCACGCCCTATGCAGAACACAAAAATCTTTTTTACAGTCTAATCATATCAATAATCCTACAACAAAAATAACATTTTAACTTTAACTTAAATTTACTTCTTTTAAAAAGATTTAATCTGGTATTTACAGCAACACACATATACAAACTTATTACTTTAACTTAAACAGGCAATTTTTAAGATTGTTTTTATATATGTGTTCATGTTTCTGTGAGTGTATACATTGTGTATGTGGGTGCCTACACAGCCCAAAGAGAGCATCTGATCCCATGAAGTTGTAGTTACAAGCAGTCGTGAACCATCCATTCTGGTACTGAGGACTGAATTCAGGTCCTCTGGAAGAGCAGTGCTCTTAACTACTGAGCCAAAATGGACTTTTTGTTGTTTTTTTTTTCAAGATAGCAAAATGTGCATTTATAATAGGGTGACTAATGTTTAGGAAAGTTTAACTACCAGATATTATACTATTAATATTGTGCCATACTCTAGAATAAAAGCGCCATTTTTGATTTAATAGCTTCAGGGGGCATACTAAAGCATTAAGTATACTCATTAAATTTCAAAACATTGAACTGTACATTACTAAAAGGGGGAAAACATAAAAAATAAAAGCCTAGAATTAGTTCCTTTCTTATTATACTAGAAAGATGTCGTTTTTTCCAACTTTTCATAAAGTCACAAGAAAAATGGTAATTCTAGCCGGAGTTTCTTCATGTGCAGCACTGACTCAGTGAGCTTTCGTTGCTATCAATTCAAGAAAGATTTGAAATCACTGCCTTTGATGACTCAGTCTTGTTCTCAACTCAAGTACTATAACTTTATGTAAGAAAGAAAACCTTTTATAGATACCCTTAGCAAGAAAATTAAGGCTTCCAATAAAATATGCAAATAAGGGAATGTGGTTATAGCTCAATGGTAGAGCATTTGCCTAGCACATACAAAATCCTAGATACAACCCCAGCATACCCCCCACCTCATCCCAAAACATACACACATGACTATGGTGGAATTAAACAAAGATTCAATTTTCAGGTATAGAACTCAAAAATAAAAACTTAAAGGTCTACTAGATACAATAAACACCCCCAAAAATTAATAACTATGACCATATGCAAAATTTTTGATGCTATCGCTAAATACTTAAAGAGTAACTTGGGAAAAGACACCCTCTAAATGTGTTATTTAGTCAGCACTCAAATTTTAGCTATCTTATAAGCAATTTGATTCCATTTTTCTTCTTTCTTGTTTGTTGTTTTGAGACAAGATCTCAAAGTAGACTGCCTCAAACCCACTCTGTAGCCATGGCTGTCTTAACAACCCATCTGCCAACAGCACCTGAGTACTAGAATGAAGGGTATGTGCCATTATGTACAGTCTTTATTGACTCTGTTTTTCAAGAGAAAAGAAAAATTCTACAGCAAGAATACATGCCAGGCAGAATGAGAACAACTGCTATTTAACAAGATTATGAAATGTCACCGTTTTTGTGGACTAGCCTTCTGCACTGGGTCCCCGCAAATGATATGAAACTAGAATGGAGTCACAAGTGCTGAATATCCAAGCACATTCTGACAGGCCAGTTTCCCAAAACAGAATCACTATTACAAAGAGCTTTAATCCCACAGAAATAACTGAAACAGCCATTGCTTTTTGTTGTCTCTGCTTTCTTCACCCCTTTGCTGCCTGAAAGGCGACCTCTTCTGCCCACTCAGGACAGTCCTACTGCATAGAATGAAGTGTCCAATTCCAAAATAACAAGCAAAAGCTCACTAGATCTTTAAAATTTGCTTTTGTCTTTAACAGCTTCTAGTGACCATAAAGAGACTTAGAGAGATTTCAGACAACTGAGGAACCACAAAAGAGAGACCACTGATGTCTTCTGGGGTCCCCTCCTTTGTTCATCATGGAGCCCTAGGGTTTAAGTAAATTCCTGTCAGGTCTTACTATGTTTACACTGACTTCCCAGTCTTCCAGGCTTTTAAATCAGGGGTCAGTTTGTACTGATAGTGCAGACGACTTTCTGCAGTCTGTGGTAGCTACCAAGTCACTGGCAGGAGCCAATCTGGAAATTGACTAATGGTGGTTGCAGTAATTGGGCAATTACTGTGGGGAGGATACTTTAGCTTTCAGAATTCACAAGGATTTGCTTCCTGCCTCCTTCCATTTCATTTTCTTGTACACCTAGGAAACATCATTGGCCAAGGTGGTCAATCTCAGCACCAAAGCCACTTGACTGGTAGGTACAGATTTAGCACTTAAGAGCAACCAGAGCACTCACCACCAAAGTGAGAGGCCCAACAGAAAGTCACTGGGTGACCTGGACGGATGACACTACACCACCTTTCGGTCTACGTGACAACAAAATCAGTTTCCTTTTTTTATCAATAAAAGCCAATTTGATTTTTTTTTGCCAATTTGGTTTTTTGTCCAATTTGTCATAATTTTCTTTTGACCTTGCCACATGGAGAGAGACACTACACTGTTTCTAATACAGTTTGATTCACCATTAATTACACGTATTACTTCTGGGATACTCACCAAAGGCACTTTAAAAAGAGAGAGAGAGAGAGAGAGAGAGAGAGAGAGAGAGAGAGAAAGAAAGTGCTCCTGTGTGTGTGTGTGTGTACGTGGGGGGTGCACGATATCACACCTGTAGAAATCAGAAGACAACTTCTAAGATCAGTTCTCTCCTTCAATCACGTAGGTCCTGAGGGGCCTTAAGACTGACAGCAAGCAACTTTATCCACTGAGTCATCTTACCTGTCCCAGGATTACAGCACTTAGCATTTAGCTTCTGGTTAGCCCACACTGGCAATACCAACTCTATTTAAAATTTAATTTAATGAGTACTATGAATCAACTTTCTCTAAAAAAGCTTCCTTGCAAATTAGAACGTTACCCCAAAATGTATAAGCATAATATTAGAAAACAAAATTTCAAATTAGTATTGCCAAATCAAAAGACATTAATAAACAAAGTGTTTATCACTGGAAACTACCAAGTACAGTAGAAAATATCCTAACTTTAATTGGGTTAAAATGTAAATAACGTAGGATTCATCACTTTTTTACCCTCACAACAAGAAAAAAAAAGGCTGTAAATCAATACTTTCTTAGACCTATTACAGAACAGTCAGAAGGAGTCAGAGAGAATAAATAAAAGGGAAAATCTGGGGGAAAGGATCAAGGAGAAAGGAGCAAGAAAAAGAGGCCAGAGGACATCAGGGACCAGCCATCCAGCTATACAGCCAACCACAGAGTAAGAAGTAAAGAAAGGCATACGGAATAGAGAAAGATAAAAGTCCAGAGGCAAAAGGTAGATGGGATAATTTAAGAAAAGCTAGCTAGAAACAAGTCAAGCTAAGGCTGGGAATTTATAAGTCTCCATGTGTGATTTATTTGGGAGTTAAGAGGCAGGCCCCCAAAAGAGCAAGGAGTAAAAACAACCAACTAACAGAAACAGTTTAAACCTGTGAGAGAAACCCAGAGGTCCTTCAACTCTACACAAAACTACAGGTACCTAAGGAATACTGAGAACGAAATAGTCTTCCCCAGGAAGGGGCACACCAATTGATTTGCCAACACCAAATGATCAGACCTGAAAACACTCACACAAGCAACTTATACAGAGTGAGTGAGTTGTATTTCTGTATTCAGGAATATAAGTGTAGCAACAATTTTATGAAAAAAGAAGCCATGAATTTGAAAGAAAATGAGGAGGGTATATGGAAGGCTTTGGAGGGAGGAAAGTGGGAATGATATAACTGTATTATAATCTCAAAAATAAAAGAAATAATTTAATAAAGTTCTAAATAATTTAATTTAGAACCTATTAGAGGACCCAATCCTTCAAAGTAAAATTTTTTTTTGGAGTTTTATCTGGATGTTACAGTAGAGATCTGAGAAAAGATACTTATATTTCTAGCAGAAACTAGAAGAAACCTAACTTTTCTGAAATGTGTGCAGGTCTCTGTTCTCTCAAAGACCTTCCCTCCAAAAACGAAAGTAATTTATCAAAATGTAAGCAACTGGGGTTTTACCTAGCCTGTTTCTAGGATTTTACAGTACCTAACCAATCCAGGGGAAGGGAAATACCCACTCCAGCCCCTACTATCTTCTGACATGGGGAAAAGATACCCAAGGCAAACTCACAAAAGACAGATTAATAACAGGACCAGAGACCTTCTACTCTCACCCCTTCTCCCTCTTACACATCAACATGACTCCTGTGCAATGACCAAAGATTTCAGCCAAAAGAACTAAAAACCTCAGGCTTTATTTAAAGATTCTCTCGGAGGGGGGGGGGAGAGAATCTAAATACAGAGTTTAGCCTTGGACACCACTGCTAGAGCAAACACAACCTACCACTTTGAAAGGTGAACAAAGCTTCATGCCATATGCTATCACATATGTGTCTGGTACCCAGGGAATCCAGAAGAGGTGTCAGATCCCCTGGAACTGGAGTTAGAGATAGTTGTGAGCCACCATGTGGGTGCTGGGAATTGAACATGGGTCCTCTGGAAGAGCAGCCTGTGCTCAAAACCACTGAGCCACCTTTCCAGTCCCCTAGCATTTTAAACCTATCTCAAATAGAGTAGCAAGACAGTTTCGACCTCTAATCCTCCCATCCTTTTCATTGGAAAGCAGAAATATAAATGGAAAATATGACTCTACCATAATTACAGAACTTATTAATTTCTATATCCTGTCCTTTTAACATTTTATATCCAAGTATTGCTTCAAGATTACAGCAAACTCTACATTCAAATACATCTCTATCCTCAGAATATACTTTCGAATTTTTATGGCATGAAGTAAAAAAAAGGGGGGGAGGCCTGATTTTTCTCATAACTTTTATCCAGACAGTGATTCTATCTGTAATGATACTACCAATGTATAGATATCATTAAAGTGAACACATACATGTAACTACATACTATACTCATAAGAATTTCAGTATTATCAATTTCCTTTACAATACTTACAGTATCTCTAAGAAGTAATTACCACGACTCTCCACATGATTGAAAGATTTCAAACAAAATGCTTCAACGACCTATTCAAAACACAAGAAAAGCCCAACAGTCAATGACTCGCAGCTGTCATCTTCCCATCACGCTCCACTTCCCAGGGGAGTCAACAGCCTCTAGGAAGAAGCTTTCCAAAGTCCCACGATAACAGAATGACGTGACAGAGAATTGAGAGCAAAGAGGAGAAACTACATTCCTTATATCCATTTCACTTTATTAACTCAGCAATAGAGTAGAATAGTAACAACCTTTTTAGGTGTAAATGAATTAACTGTAAAAAGTATTCCTCTTTCTGGTGTGCTCTTCAAATGGAAAACTATTAAATATGATCACTTGGCAAGATCAGGGTTAACACAGGTAGTAATCTTCATTGGTGATCTTCACTGCAGTAAAGGAAACAAATTAATCTGCAGATGTCACACTCACAAGTCACTACCCAGCTGATGAGTGTCTGACCAGTCTCTCTTCTTTTTGTAATGTCAACAAAACTCTAAGTATGGCAGATAACAGTTGTTCCACAATCACAGAACTTTAGACTCTGAGAGGTAGAAAAGTCCTTACAGATCATTTCTTCCATTATTCTCTTCCTCCAGGCCTCCCATTTTATCCATGAGGAAAGAAATTAACTGGACATGGCTTTACATAGCAATTTCCTAATTTAAACATTTCATCCTGGAGAGAAAGATGCTCATTAAGACTCCAAAAATAACAAAACTCAAGTAACCAATTCACACGTTCCAGGAAGTTCCTTAAACTTACAAGACCTACAAGGAAGGGCCTACCCCCATGGCTACATAAGCACTAACAAGTGCTAGAGAAGAGACCCTCTTGTCAGCTGAGATGTCTGTGTACAGGAAGCTCTAGGGATGCAGCTTTGGTGAGTCTTCACCACACTACAGTGGATGGAGCTTCTGCCTTTCAGTCATTCATCCTCCCTTAAGGAATACCAATAAATTCACTAGTTCACTAAATTAGACTTGGGTAGAACTGTTACTTTGGCCTGTGGTACTATGAACAAACATTTGTTCACACCTTGCCAGGAGCAATTATACAATAAGATAGCTTTCTGAGTAGAAACTAGAACCAAGACCCCTTGACATCCAAACTGGTATTTTTTTCATTACAACATACTGTTGTCAGGAATTTTAAATAGCATGAGATTTTATACTACGTGGAAGCTAACAAAACCAGCCTTCTACAATTTCATGAATCTAAGAACCAAAACCATACAGACCCCACACAAAGCTTAAAGAATGAGATCTAAAACTATATGCCCCCAGTACTGTATTAAAGTGTGACTGTGTGTGTGTGTGTGTGTGTGTGTGTGTGTGTGTCACAAAAGTTCAGTATAGTATGATGTTAAGCTCTTTTGGCTCTTTTGGGGGGCCCGCCACTTAGCTCCCAAATGAATCGCACACGGAGTCTTATTCTTAGTTATCAATGTCCAGCCTTAGTGTGGCTTGTTTCTTGTCCATTTTTCCTAATTATTCCCTCTGCCTTTTGCATCTGGGCTTTCCCATTCTCTTCTGTAAATCTTACTCTTACTCCATGAATTGCTGTGTAGCTGGGTGGATGGCCCCTAATGTCCTTCTCCTTCTCTGGGTACTTCTCCCAATCCTTTCTCCCAGTTTTCTCCTTCTATATATTCCCTTTGCCTGACAGTCCCGCCTATCCTTTCTCCTGCCTCACTATTGGCAACTCAGAGCTTTATTAGACCATCAGGTGTTCGAGACAGACAAAGTACCACAGCTTCACAGAGTTAAAACAAATGCAACAGAAACAAAAGTAACACACCTTAAATAATATTCCTAACAGTTGAGAATCACTAGAACTTGTCCACAGAATCTTATTTGTAAACAGACTTTGCAGACATAACCAAATTACTAAACATCATATTATATTAGGATAGGTCCTAAGTAAATGCTGTAATTATGGAAAGGAAATGTGAACTCACATGCATAGTCTGCTATGTAAATACTGAAGCAGAAGTTGAAATTATGCTGTAACAAGCTAAGAAACATCAAAGATTTCTAATAATTACTGGCAGTAGCTAAAAGAGGGAAGAAAGGAAGATTCATCCTAGAAATTTCAGAAAAAGCATGGTCCTCCCAACATTAAATTTCTATTGTTTTAAGCCATCCAGTTGATAGTAGTTTGTAACAATAGTCCAAGAAAACTAAAACACACACACACAGCTTTTGTATACATTAACTTCACATTACCCCAATAACATTATCATATTAATGTATCTTTTAAATCATAATGAAATACCTAAGGTTAGGTATTTATAAAGAAAGGAGTTGTGTTTAGTTTAGTTTGGCATCCTAAAGGTCCAAACAGCATAAAACCAGCTATAAGGACCCCATGACAGAAGATATTATCAGGGTAGAGTAGTTGTGAAAGGGAGCAATCACATGACCAGACAGCTATCCAGAAAAAAAGGGAGGGCAGATATGCTCTGTTGCTAACAACCCTCGATCCACAATGATCTAAAGACCTCCCACTAGACTATATCACTTCAAGGCCCCAGCTCAACCTCACCAATAAGGTTTAGAGATCAAATACCTCCCACAAGTATATGTATTGAATATTTAGTCCCTAGTTGATTGTGCTATATTGAGAGGTTCTGCGAAATTTAAGAGGCAGTAAACCACAGATGGTCTCCATGAGTGGGACAGAATTTGGTCAAAAGACTCAAGAGGGCTTGGTATTGGAGCAAAGGTACCTGACTATCAACAGTGGGGTTGTGTCTCTTAAGTCCAATGAAACTCACAAATAGGGAAGTACAAAAGCAAAAGTAGGTTTACTGAGTACCAGGTGCAAAGGTGACTCACAAGAAGCTTACCAGAGCTCCCTTCCAAGAGAGGAATTGTGTCAAAAAAGGGGTGATGTTAGCTGGCTCTTACTTGAGTTTTAAAAAGAACTCTGTAAAGGGAAGGAGAACTTGCAGGGAAGCCGTCTATCAGTTGACTCTCAGCACACTGTTGGTTGCTGGGTTGTACTCAGCACATGGCTGTCATCAGAGGAAGCCCTCCGGGTTAGGGTCCCATCCTGACTGCCTAGCAGGGTCTAACTACTGGCCTCCGGGGCACCAAACTAGAAAAAATAAGTCAAAGAGAAGTATTTTTAGGGGCACTTTGTCCCTGTCCCCTCCTGTCTCTCTGTTTTCTGTCCACTGTGAGAAGTAGAATCTCTGCTATGCAAGCAAGGAACTCAGGACCGCGAGGGGTGCACCCATACACTGAGACAAGGGGGATGTTCTATCGGGAACTCACCAAGGCCAGCTGGCCTGGGTCTGAAAAAGCCCGGGTTAAAACCGGTCTCGCTGAACATAGTGGACAATGAGGACTACTGAGACCTCAAGAACAATGGCAATGGGTTTTTGATCCTACTGTACCTATTGGTTTAGTGGGAGCCTAGGCAGTTTCGTGGATGCTCACCTTAC